CTGTAATTAGCCTGAAGCATACTGCTTCCATTTTATAAATGAAGAAAGGTCTTGCCTGATTTTTTCCAGAAATATCAGTTGGCTTTATTAAAAAACCAACAAAACTCCCTGCGTGTACGTTTTGTGGAAAACGGAATAAAGTACCGACTTTTGATACAAATGCTCAAAGATGCATTTCAGCCAGTGTTTCAAACAGCATCTGCGTTTCAGCTGCCTCGCTTTCTCAGGGAAAGGTGAGCTCCCGCTGCAGGGGGTCCAGGATCAGGTCCCTGCGGCGCTGGGCTGGCAGGGCAGCAGCACAGGCAGGCTGGGCGCCGGGAGGCTGGCGGGAAGCCTGCCAGCCCCAACCTGTTCTCTGATCCCCCATCTTGTGATTGCAGTCACAAGGCCAGCTCTCTGCGGCTGGCGGCAGCTCAGACTAACTTAATTTCCAGTCAAAGTAATTAGCGAACAACTGCTCATTTATTAGAGACTGGTGGGGTTTCTGTGTTTTCTTGTGTTACTGGATACCACCAGGTTTAGGTAGTTTGCGTTTATTTTGCTTCTGAAATAGGCGCAAAGGTACCCTGATTTGGAAATAAGAGTTAGGTTTGGCAACAAGTCTGAAACCAGTGCTTTAAGAACAGTCACGTTTGCTGGTATATACCTGGTACAATACAACTGGAATACTTTCCTTTCCACGTCCTCCTCCAAAAGTAATAGGAAATCAAGCTGGCCCTGGTTTATATAAAATTTTATGTCAAGAAACAATTAAATACTCATACAAAGGCACACGTGTGAACTAATACTTAAACCCATGTCTGTTCCTTCATGTACTTGATGCTTCCATGTATTTTCAATTTTGTATCAAGCTGATGAGTATCTGAGGAATAATATCAGGCGTCGCCTTCTTCTGTAAGCAGAGGCCGAGTCATGACTGCTGGTCCATGCCAGCTTCCCTGCTCCTCCCAGCGGCGTTGATGGCAGCTCATGGTGCATCCCCTTTCTCACTGCTCCAACCACTAAATAAAGTCTCTGTATTCTTAAAAAAATGTAAAAATGCTATGTGTTGTTTTCTCAGCTGTCTGAATGCGCTCAGACACCCTGGCAGCTGACCATGAAGGGAAGTTGTTGCCCAGTATCACAAGGGCTTCATAGGTGGTGACCCTCCGCCACAGACACCCTGCAGTTTGTGTTAGACAGCTCTGGAGAAATGGTCTGAACTGGTGTCGCACTGGGAAGGGAAACTTTAAACTTTGACCTGAGGGTTTAAGAAGGCCTTCTACAATGGGGTTACAGCGCTGGTGGATAAGGGTAGAGCAACTGATGTCATCTACCTGGACTTGGACAAAGCAGTTGCCACTGTCCCGCACGACATCCTTGTCTCTAAATTGGCAAGACATGGGTTTGACAGATGGACCACTCAGTGGATAAGGAATTGGCTGGATGGTCACACTCAGAGAGTTGTGGTCAATGGCTCCATGTCCAAGTGGAGACCAGTGATGAGTGGCGTTCCTCAGGGGTCGGTATTGGGACCGGCTCTGTTTAACATCTTTGTCAGCGACATGGACAGTGGGGTTGTGTGCGTCCTCAGCAAGTTTGCCAACCACACCAAGGTGTGTGGTGCGGTTGACGTGCTGGAGGGAAGGGATGCCATCCAGAGGGACCTTGACAGGCTTGAGAGGTGGGCCCACGCGAACGTCATGAAGTTCAACAAGGCCAAGAGCAAGGTCCTACACGTGGGTTGGGGCAATCCCAAGTATATAAATACAGGCTGAGTGATAAGTGGATTGAGAGCAGCCCTGTGGAGAAGGACTTGGGGGTGTTGGTTGACAAGAAGCCCAGCATGACCCAGCAATGAGTGTACACTCGCAGCCCAGAAAGCCAATTGCATCCTGGGCTGCACCAAACGAAGGATGGCCAGCAGGTCAAGGGAGGTGATTCTCCCCCTCTACTCTGCTCTCGTGAGACCCCACCTGGAGTACTGTGTTCAGCTCAGGGACCCCCTGTGAAAGAAGGACTTGGACCTGTTGGAGCGGGTCCAGAGGAGGGCCACGAAGACGATCAGAGGGCTGGAGCACCTTCCCTGTGAGGACAGGCTGAGAGAGTTGGGATTGTTCAGCCTGGAGAAGAGAAGGCTCCAGGGACACCTTATAGAGGACTTCTAGTACCTAAAGGGGGCCTGCAAGAAAGCAGGAGAGGGACTTTTTACATGGGGCATACAGTGATAGGACAATGGTTAATGGCTTTAAACTGAAAGAGGGTAGATTTGTATTAGATGTAAGGAGGAAATTCTTCACTATGAGGGTGGTGAGGCACTGGAACAGGTTGCCCAGAGAGGTTGTGGATGCCCCATCCCTGGAAGTGTTCAAGGCCAGGTTGGATGGGGCTTTGAGCACCCTGGTCTAGTGGAAGGTGTCCCTGCCCATGGCAGGGGGGTTGGAACTAGATGATCTTTAAGGTCCCTTCCAACCCAAACCTTTCTATGATTCTATAACTCTGTAGAGCAGTCCATTTGCAGGGTTGTGCTAGATGTGGCAGAGAACATAGTACTTAGGAAAAGAGTGTAGGTGCAGTAGGTCAAAGTGGGACTCCGGTGACGGAAATCCACATTTCACACTAAAGAAAGTCACTGCTTTCTTAATCTGCATTTGGGGTTTGCATGGGTTGTTTATACAGGGAAGATACTGATCTCTTTGTAGATACCAGCCACCCAGCGGTCCACAAACAGTGAGTGTTATCGTTTAAGAATCAACAGCCACCCAAGCTGCAGTTACTTGTCAGATCAGTGACCCACTGCTATCTCATCCACTAACAGGTGCTTCTGGTGCAAACTCAGGAAAAAAAAAAAATCATGGAAAGTCTAACAGCTGGGATTATATGCATGTTTTGCTGTGAAATTATACTTAAATGAAAGCAACTCAGGTGCTGTTATGCTGGCACTAGGGCACTGAATGACTGACACGTTGCAATACGCAGATACATAGCTTAACTGGCAGCACAGTAACACAGATCTTAGTCACTAGAGCATGTATACCCACTGCAATACGAAACTTAAGTATTTTCCTAAAAAATGGTTGTTTTTAGAGGCACTGGGGAGTACCTAGTCCCTGTTCCTGCTCTGTCCTTAATCATATCTCATGGCCCCTTGGAAACAGGACCAGGTTACAAGTGATCTTTCTTCTGCTGCAGTAGTGGTATTGTTAGCTTACTAGACTAGCCTTGAATTATGCTTGGGTTTAGGTTACCAATTTAAAAAATGCAGTAGTTTCTCAATAAATTGGTGACAACAATAGCTATTTGTTTTCTTATATGGATATTATGAGGGAGAGAGAGAGAGCACATGACTATATATGTATAAAATATATGTATAAACATATATATATTTATATGCACACATGCACTGTGTGCCTATTTTGTTTGCAGGAAAACTGATTTACTAGCTTTCATAGACAGAGTGCAAAATTGCATTCTCCAGTATAAAGTTGGCTATTACCTAAACCCTCACAGTTTTCCCTGCTTCCTCTTCATTCTCCAGGATTTAAGTGTTGCTTGTTTTTTGCTGTCGATAGCAGAGATTTGGGAAGCACATGACGAGGAACAGAATAAACAAGTACATGCTGTACTTGCTGATCCTGGGCAGTTGTCACTGTTACAGCTTTAAAGACTGTCAGATAAAGACCTGCAGAAAGAGTGCTCTGATACCTGAAGCAGTACTGAAATCACATCCTCGCCCCTGGGATAACAATACCTAAGGGTCAATACCCGTCCTGTATAATTTTCTGTCTGCCTTTATTCAGCCTGCCTCTTCTTTACAAATAATAGAACACAGTTGTAAGTTTAAAGTAACCATTGGATTTTTTTGGCAGGAGTGTTTTTAACTCCTATCTATGTCCTAATGTAATTCACAGAGTGTTCTTAATGAAGTCTTGTACCAGCATGGCTGGGGGTGTGGAGTGGGGGTGAAGATGAGCAGATGGGGCAGAAGTTGCTTAGGACAAGATGGTTGCCAAAAGAAATGTCCATATAATGAGACAGGAGGGTTATAAAGGTATCAGGATGCCTAATATTTAAAGTGACCTAAAGCCCAGGTTTCACACCTTTATCACTTAACATAATCACACATTTCTTTTAATTAATAATTTTTGCTCTCGTTAGTCAATGAATGTCTGCTAGTTTCAGAGCTGATTCCTGATCTCCTTAGGCAGTGTCAACTCTGAGACGTGGCACTAAGGCACCAACAGGATGAGTGTGCTGGAAGTGGCTAGGAACAGCAGTATAATGTATATAAAAGGGCAAGCTTCAATCTGAAATGAGAACCTTTCTAAGTAGAAAAAAAAAAGGAGGTGTAGCAGTCACATTGCAGCAATAGCTCATCTTCTGTTGCAGAGGGCAAGGGATAAACAGGGAAGAGGCATGATTTGAGTGTCACATCCATAGCAATGGCTTATTGTAATTTGTGCCATTAAAGCTTACCTGTCTAAATAGCACAAGGCATTTTCCTGTTCTTATAAGAATTGAAATACCCTGGCAACATTGCAGCCTTTTTATCTTTATTAATTACTGAAGACATATATAATTTGGAGCTTAAAAACACTGTTTCAGACAGCATGAGACTTTTGGTCTTCTCAGGGCTGTCAAGATAAAAAGCGACTGCAACAACACCTCTGACAGAAAATCCAGATAATGGCATTGCGAATATTGATGTGACAATCCTGTGTCAAACAATGCCAACCATGTAATATCAGATGTAAAGCTTCAGATCAAATGGGGGTACTGACACAATCCACTTCCTTTTGTTAATATTATATAAAATAAGTCACTTCTGTTTAATAATCAGGCCTCTGTCTCTACTTTTGCACTGCATAAATCAGAGTTAAAGGATTTTTACGTTTGTCTGCAAATGAAATTTTTGGTTTTCCCATCAACCATTCTCACTGTTTTTCTAGTTCTCATAAAGTAGGATTTTCACTGAGAGATGGGTGCTAATTGCTAGAATCCACCATCTTGAAAGGTACAGCTTTTCCTGTAGATTGAAGACAAACGAGCAAGGTCTGATGTGGAGAAGCCTTTAGCTGCTCTTCTGGTGTTTCTGTACACAAGCAAGGTATTCTTGCACGTCGTCTGGAGAACCAAGGATAAGAGGGACTCTCTGGTGAATACTCTCAGGTTTCACGTCCAACACCGCCTCAGTCCCTGTAGTTGCTACCCCACCTGCCTGCTCAATGATGAAAGCCATAGGGTTGCACTCGTAGAGAAGTCGGAGCTAAAAAGAAAGAGGGAACACATGATTGCCTTTGGGGGAAATTACACCAAAGGACTTACAGGAACCTAACCTTCCTTTTGTGATTTTGGAAAATTTTTACCAAACATCAATTGACCTAGATAGCAATGTCTCTCAGTCTGCCCTTCCTTCTTCCCTCTCCCCCTCTCACCTCCCTTTACACCTTCTGTTTTGAGGAAGAGTGTACTGACCCTGCATCCAAGCATCACCACCGTTGTTCCCAAGCTGACATACTGATGTGCAGCACCAGTGAAGCTGTATTTTGTCAAAAAAGTCAAAAGTAGCTGTTGGGCCCACAGACATCAGCAAAACAGTTAAGACAGCTCAGTTAACAGTACCGGGAAAGAAAAGCCCAAATCTCTTCTCATGTACAGGCTTTATGTGTTACCTCAAAGCTTGGGGTAATCACATTGTGTTTGGTCAGGATATTTTGGAGTTTGAAACTTGATGCTCCCAGTTTCAAATTTCAGGATTTGATTGCTGCTCTTCAGAAACGTGAATAGATATTAGTGGCCTGAACTCCTCCGGATAGTGACTGTTTTCAGAAGTAACTGCAGTAACTATTAAAAGCAAATTTTCCCTTTTGGTATGGAGGCAGTTTTGGTTTGGACCTGATATCTGTTCACATCTTCAAAAATGTTTTCCCTGGGGTGCCTATGGTCCGGTGGAATGCAGACTTATCTGGCACATGCCAAAAGTTTCTACATTTAAAAGCACATAGATGATAGCTGGTTATTTTTTAACAGACATTGTTTCTGTACGTTTAGTTGAATCTTTGATAGTCTTTGAAGCACTCATGTGCGACAATGTTAGTACATACTATGTTTAAAGGGCTTTTCACAGGTGCAAAAGAGAGCCTGTTTTCTGGGGAAAAGGAAACGTGACGGAATGCAACTGTATATAGACAAAGAAATGGGTCGGTGTCCTGGTTTCGGCTGGGATAGACCTAATTGTCTTCCTAGTAGCTGGTATAGTGCTATGTTTTGGGTTCAGTATGAGAAGAATGCTGATAACACACTGTTGTTTTCAGTTGTTGCTAAGTAGTGTTTAGACTAAAAGTCAAGGATTTTTCAGCTTCTCATGCCTGGCCAGCAAGAAGGCTGGAGGGGCACAAGAAGTTGGGAAGGGACACAGCCAGGGCAGCTGACCCAAACTGGCCAAAGGGGTATTCCATACCATGTGATGCCATGCCCAGTATATAAACTGGGGGGAGTTGGCCTGGGAGGAATTGCCACTTGGGAACTGACTGGGCACAGGTCAGCAGGTGGTGAGCAATTGCATTGTACATCACTTGTATATTCCAACCCTTTTGTTATCATTATTATTATTATTGTCATTTTAAAATTGTTTTTTTATTGCTATTATTATAATTATTAGTTTCTTCCTTTCTGTTCTATTAAACTGTTCTTATCTCAACACAGGAGTTTCACTTTTTTTTCATAATTCTCTCCCCCATCCCACTGGGCGGGAGGGAATTGAGTGAGTGGCTGCGTGGTGCTTAGTTGCTGGCTGGGGTTAAACTACAACAGTCGGACACAGGACTTTACTACCCATCATTCCTTTATCACACTGTTTATAATAAAACCATGATGTATCACAAACTTAAATAGTGCATATTACCTTCATTCTTATCTTTAAAGCCCACTGAAGTGCTACTTCAGGTACAAGGACTCCATCTGGCAGGCAACATAGGACCAATAACCTTCATTGTTCCCCTTAGTGCCTGGCCAACTTTTGGATCATGAGCCAGAAAACAGCAGTGGTACCACTGTGGAACCATGTGCTGAGTTTCTTCTTGCTTAACTGTGACTACATGGCTTAAGGAAAACAGTTTTCCTTCAGCTAGTGGTGCAATTGCACTCAGGGGTCTTCAGATGGTCTCTGTCTTCAGATAGTTTTTAACATTCTTCACCTAATAGAGAACTATAAGCCTTAAGTTCATAAAAAAATATTATTTAACATATCTGATTTGAAAAGAGGATCTGTTTGGCTGGTTCTGCATTGCTTATTAAGCATTTTGTTCTCTTTCTTTAACTTAAAGAAGGAGCGCTGTATGCTGGGGCCTACATGCATGTCATTTACATTTGCTTGAAAGCCTTTGAATCAATTCCAGTGACATTTGGTTCCTCTCAGCTCTCTATCCAAGTGCATAGACTGTCTTTCAAGGGAATGATGATCAGGGCACCTGCCGCAAAGGCATTATCTCTCCAACAAGAAGAGTTTTGTGTGAGAAGAACTACATACACATGCACTCTGAGAAGGAAAGAAGAAAACTTTTATTTGTAACGATAATACAGTTTTGCTTCTTTCATTGCTTTCTCTACTATGGGAGTGCAAGATAGATGAATCCAGCAGTCAATGTAGGCTAACTCTTGCAGAAATCTTGATTTCTATAAAATTATATAAGTGCTTTGTACATTTGTTCTTTTGTCCTATTTCTCATCTTTTCTCTTCAACAATGGTTTAACACAGATTTCAAAACAAAAAGTTTAATTTGAAGAGGCCAGTCAGCAAACCCACTTCTCTCACACACAGCAAATTCCTTTTTTGTCTCTTGCTCTGCTACACAAACAGATCAACACTATTTAATGGCGGTTTGGTTGGTTGGGTTTTTTGGTTGGGTTTTTTTTGGGGGGGGGGGCGGAGTGTTTTCTGGGATGATGTATCAAATATTTAAATCAAATTTGCCTGGACAAACATGTAGATATTTTCTGTTGTGTATTCTGAAGAGAGTTCTTTTCCTGTTCTCCTTGTTTCACAGACCACTTGGATCTGCTGTGTTTATGATAAATACGTGCTCACCAGGATGGAATCAGTAGTCCTCTGTCCCTAGACATCAGGATGTTCTGATACCAGTGTGGGAGATAGGGCAAGTAGTTTTATGAGGGCAGATTCCTGTACATACCAGCCAAGGATACAAAAACATTTGAGTAGAAGGTTTTAAGTATGGTATTGACCAGGAAAGAAGAAGGTCTTGAAGTCAGAACAACATGACTAATATATTATGCATTGAGCCATTTCCTAAGGATGACCTGCAGGTTACTGGTGGTCCATATATTCCATAGATCAGCTGTATAACCAGATCTCTTTTAAAATATATTTGTTAAGAAGTTTGATAATCAGGGTATATGGTGTTACAGGAGAAAAGTTGAGGCTGACTGTGGTCCATGGCCCAGCAGATTCAGGGATTCACTGCATTGCATTGCATTAAGTCACAGTCTGTTTTGTACAGGCATCCAAATGGGAGTGATCTTTTCCCAGAATACTGATCTCAGCATGCATGAAACTCACCATCCACTGACAGAGTTTTTCAGATCAGTTAGTAGAAGCTTGTGTTTGCAGGGCTTGTGATAGCAAGCTCAGTACATTTTGGAAACGTTACATAGGCAAACTTGGTTGTCTAACATTGGACAAAACCCTGTCTGGAGTTCAGCATATCCCACCTGGACTCTAGTTGCCAGTATAAAGTGTAGAGGTCTTCCATAGGCCTGTGTTGTATCTGCCAGTTGTGGTTAGGTATCTGGATGGGTTTCTATGGTACTGGAATGTTTCTCTTTAGATAAATGAATAAAGCCCTTGCAGTGAAAACCATTTTAGTAGTTTGTAATATAAAAGCACACAGGAAAATTTCTGGCCTAAATTGGCAATTGCCCGAATTTCTTGCCAATTCGATTGCTGACGATCACGTCCATTAATAATTTTCTCCAGGGGTGGAAAATTGTTATCTGTTTATATATCTAAACTATTCCTCTACATCTCCAGGAAAACCAGAGGTATTAGGTTGACTAAGTTCACTAGAGAGTAAGTAAAATGATTTACCTTTCCTTTAGGACTCTTCTGATTAGCAGGGTACATGAAGATCCCACCATACATCAATGTACGGTGAACATCAGCTACCATGGAGCCCACGTACCTGGCACCATATGGGGAACTGCCATCCTGAAAAACATAAAGCATTATATCTACCAGGCTAGACAGCTAGTAGCATGGCAAAATGTAATTTTGTTATAAAACAGGAATTAAAGCTGCTTAAATCAATGGCTGCTTATGGACACTGTACTGCCTAAACCAGCCTGAAGATTAGCCTTTTGTAAGATGTAGTGATTGTCTATGGGGTTCTAAAATAAGCACTTTAAAGAGCTGCACTCACAGTATGGAAACCAGGGTGCCTGTAATTTAAGTGGACAATTTGGTATCAACCCCCAGCCTGTGAAAAAAGGAAGGCCTGCAAACAGTGTGTGAAAACTTCTTCACATTATCAGAACAATGTACCCATTTGATTGCTGATCCTTCACTGGTTCCTAAGCCAAGTCATGAGGAGAGGTGTCACTTTTTGCTACACATCCCAGAGGACATTCCCAGAGGACTCCAGCTTTTTCCTTCTAGCTTATTTGTCAAGTTGTAAGATTGGTCATAGCATTCATTCTGCAGCTTAGTTTGGGAGATAGCAATTCATTAATGAATGTGGTTTTCCTTGCTTGCAGCTTAGAAATTAATTTTGTTGAAGGAGAGGTCATTTTAGTGAGAGCAATCAGGGAAGTATTCATATCAGTCTCAGGTTTGCTGATCATAAAAATGGTAAGGTAGGAAACATAGAAGACAAGCAAGGTGTCTTGCAAAAATAGAAGTTATATACACCAAATAAGTTCCACCTGAGAAAAGCAATGTATCACCGTACCTTTGTGAAAGAGAGATACACAATACAAATGTAAACTGAAGGAAAGCTTTCTGAAGCTACTATGCCAAGAAGTCTGTTGGTCATTTAATATCTCTCACTCTGTCTTCAATGAAGTAGAGGAGGAATTTGCACCTTCCCAGAAAATTAATAGAGGATGGGACTTCATGCACATTTAGTACACATATATATTTGTGTATTGCAATGCTACAAGTTTGAAAAGATCTCTGCATGTTTTTTCTGCCTGGATCAGTTGTCTAATAAAAGATCTTAGTGCTTTCTATAAAGCTCTCCTTGTGCTGATACTAGATTGAGAGAAATAGATAGAAAACTTGTTCAGCAATGCTAGCTCCAAGACCTTCAGACATCACAAGTTAGTCACCCTTCCCAGCAAAATCATGAGATTAGCTGGGAGAAAAAAAACCACAAGTGGGAGGAAAAAACACAGATAGAGAAAAACATCATTATATTTTGAAATCACTTTTTCAAACTCTTCCATGCAACTGTGAGGTTTTGATGTTTACTCTCTTTTAAAATGGGAAAAGATTCTTTACACAGTATAATGCAACACAACAGTAGGAAGTTGAGTCCTAAGCCACTAAATGTAAGACTTGGATATTTGATACAGCTGGTAGTAAAATTGGAACAGAGAACTGTTCCAGCTAAGGTAACAACCCTTGTTCAACTGTAGTTGTGCTGTTTTCCATGCTTCTTTCTTCTTGTACACATTAGGAGAACTGTTGAAAATTCAGAGGAAAACAATACAAAGTATGAAAGACTCAATGGGTAAGACACAGCCTGGAGCTTTTATAATTAGTTTTGTTTAAACCTGGCCCTATTATTTCCAGGGACAACTGAACAATACTTTTAAGTATTTAATCCCTTATTTTTCACGGCTTACCATCAAATAATTACATATTTAGACTTCAAATGATAGCTTTTGCATCTCACAGCTGTTTGCACTTGTGACTTTGCAACTGTGAAAATCTGAGTTCAGAACAAAACACCTTATGAGGTGTTAAAGAGAGACCAAAGCAAGTTTGCAGTTTAAGAAAAGACAATTTTCAGGGAAAGATGTGATTATAGTCTAAAATTACCTTCAAAAATACAGTCAAAGGAAGAGGTCTCTTTCATGGTTTCAGAAGGTGATGAAGCAAGTCTTAAGAAAAGTTTGTTAAACATTAAGAAAAGTCATAGCATATTGACCATAAGCAGGCCCTGAAACAGACTGCTAAGGACTGCTTCTATTATCAAATAAGGAGTCTAGAACCCACATGTATAAAATTTACTGACCATGAGCTGCACAGCTGAGCTACCTGTGTACAAGTCATCAGATACATTTGGGACATGCTAGATTTCCTATTCACATGCAGGTCTTTTACACAATTATGTGTACATGGACAGTGTTATGTGAAGCTGATGAGATGCCACTGACAGTTTTAGTTGCTTCTTACCCTAATAGAAATTCACCTGCTAGAAATACAATGCTGAGACTGTGCTGAGAAAAATACAGAAGAGAAAGTCCTCCATTCTGGTACAAATATCACTTGAACCACAGACTGAAATAAAGTTTTCACTTCCCTTCTTAGCATCCAGCTACCTCCATGGGAGGAATAAATAGTCCTTTCAGTTACTAGAAATGTTACTTCTTGTTTCTCTAGTTTGGTCACTCATGTATTTTTCTTACAGATGAGAAAGTTAATAGGTGTTGCATGTGTGTTGCCAAATTGCCCAGGCTTTCTTCTCAGACAAAATAACAGAGCATGAATGCTAGGGAGATTCATCCTGAGTTCTGAGTAATGATAATCTGTGTGTTTGCCTAGTGAGCACTTTGCACTGGTTCAGCTGATGCTAATGAAACAGTTGGAGAACCTTGATGTTCCCTTGGTCGGTGTCCATGGTGTTTGCGTAAACTTGTGATTGCTCTTATTTTCACCCTTTCTGCTGCTTTTCTTGCTTAACCCAAAGGAACAAAAATGTCTTAGATAGGTCCTGTGATTTTTTTCTTCACAATGTGATAGAAGTCACTTTTTTACTTCTTTATTCTACTCATTTCTGACAGTTATGTTCCTCCACAGCAGAACAGGACCATGTTTTTCTTGCATAACTATGATGACTAGGAGAGTGGGGGGAAAAAAGTCTTTACTACAGACTACAGCAGCAACACCCCGCATCCCTCACTCCACATACAGATACAGTGACAAAAACAGTGGGTTTATTAGCTTTTTTTATGTCACTTGGGCACAGCCAGGCCAGCTGGCAGAACAATGCTTCATGCTGAAATGTGCTGTTGATGATAAGTTTTTGATGGCATTGCTAATACAAATCCTTAACCAGGGAGTCTCCATTGCATGACTCTCAATCAACAAGCTGTGATGAGACTCAACTTCTCTTGTGGCTGTAGGAAGCAAAGATAAAAATAAGTAGAAAAGCAAAGTATGACAATGCCCACAGCATGTTTCTGAGTTCTACCAACAGTGAGCCAGTGCCAGCTAAAGGCTAGGGCCCTGCAAGCATTACTGGAAGAAAAACCCACTTTGGGAAGGAGTTAGAGTCAAATTTGTGCAGAAACAATTTCTGGCCCAGCAGTGCCCATTATATAGTGCAGACTGGAGTAAATGTGTTGCATTACAGGCAGCCTTGCAAACAGCAGCTTGCTCTTCAAGACAGTTAAGCAGTAGGATATTTTGTGATGCTTAACAAAAAATCAGCTTTACTCTGGACTCTCATTCCAGAAAAGACGTGTCTAGACAAACATTTCCCACTAAGATCTGTATAACAATGGTAGGAGATTTACAGCTGACCGGCAGAACAGCAACAATTTTCCGGTGTTTTTAGTTTGGAATTGATGCCTTAGGTGAATGATGGTCCACAAGAAACTTTGATGGTCAACATGGCTTTGTAGTCTAAACTGCCTGATCTAGGATGCTGTTGTTAGATAGTAAGGGAAAAATCTCTCCTCTCCACATAAACGGTTGATCTGTAATATTTGGTTGCCAATGACAGAGATACAGTACTTGGGACATGTTGTGGAGAACATCCTACTTTGTTTGCCTGTTTTATTTTTAACTTTTCAGTTTTCTGTGGCAATGTTAGAGAGTCATCTGAACAGTCTGTTGACCAAGAACCACAGGAAGGAGGAAATAGAAGTAGGATCAAAGGAAAAAAGGGATAAGAAAGTGGCAAGTAGCTGAGATTAATGCTGAGTCTCTTGGCTTCTAGTGGCCAGAAGGCCATAGGGTGAGAGTGGCCTGCCTGAGTAAGAAGGCACATGTCAGTTCCTCCTGAAGTCACAGGCAGAGGGTGTCCAGCAGATACCCCCCACTGCCCTTCTGTGTGCTGAAGAGAGAAAGGCAAAAGACCAAAGCTGTGTAATGGTCCACCTGGGCACTGCAGGGAAGGAGGGTGGGAGCATCACCAGTGTAGCTGTAGCTGGCAAGGCTTACAGATGATGCCAGGAAGCAGGTTTCATGCTATAGAAAAGTGGCAACACCTTCTTTCTCATGTCCTCTCACAATGCAAATATAATGTCCTTTTTAAATCAAGGAACTGAGTTATGCTGTTTCCAAAACTCGGGTTCATAACAAGCTTTCAGATGGGTAGGGCACTTCCTTGTGCTTTGTGGCCATAACATTGGTGCCTTGTCTCTTCTCACGCAGACAACCCTACGTCTCAGAGCAGCAAAGCAATGTGCTTGCTCAGCATCCCTGAGGAGGCTTCCCCTGCCCCAAATAACCAATGCACTACTGTGCTGCTTGCTTTACAGTAACAAAAACACGTTCTGCCAACTTCTGTTGCGTTAGTGCAACAATACTTTCAATAGGTTCTCTTCAAATGAAGCACAGATTTGAGATAAAATAGTGTTTGCAAATGAGGTTTCTCCTGTATGCCCTAACCTACAGGATTTAGTGAATCACATGATAGAGCTGTCCTCACCGAGCCTGTAGTGAAATAACTCTGGTCTTTCCCCTGAGTTTGAAATCTCTACAGTTTTTTTATAGTTGCCTGGGGTTAACTATTTGTTTAACAGTTTTACTTTAAACAACACTTTGGTGGTTTGCAAAAACACAAATTAATAAATCCGGTGTTAGTGCATTATAATGAACACATAGCTCAGCAGCATAACGTGAGCAGAGTGAGAAGCACAGATCTCCTTCTCTTTCCCAGCTGGAGGAGTTTTCTGCTTCTCTCACAGCTGGACTGAAAGCAGACTTCGAAGTTGCAGAATAACTTCAAATATTCAGAATTAATATATTTAAAATGCTGTGATATGACACCCTCTGTAGCTACAATCTTGATAATGTGGAAAAGAGGTTTTGATAAGAGGTCAGGATTGTAGGTATATCCAATGTAGTAAATTCAGATTTTCAGCTCAGAAGGAGCTTCTCACAGGACTATGGTTTAAACTCTTACTTGGTACAGCACCCTGAAGTTTTCTGCTGGATACACTGATTTGTACATGAGCCCTGTGTAAGTATTCTCGACAATTTACAGCTTAAAAAATAATCCTATGGCTTTTTTTTAACAGGAAGAGCATTACAACGAGTTTCCTGGACAAATTCAGTCCTGAGCTATTCTAAATCATGACATTTTGTTATGACTTACTGGTCACATAACCACCACACTTTCTAGAGAGCTTTTGGCTTTCCACATTGAGAGCTTGTGTTGTGTCCTCCTAGCACTGACTAGAGGTCATCCAGAGCTGTATGTCCACATGAGAAAGTTCATCAGACATGGGATGTTCTCAGCTTTACGTCTCTGAGAGATACAGTATAATCCCCTTAACAACAGAATGTAGTGAAATTGTGCCTCAGACCATTGGCTTTTGTCAGTCTATGGGTTGGTTTGTGCTCCATGTGATGCAAATAGACAGTGTAAGAGTGATACTGCATTTCTCAGATGCAAGCATGTACAGGAAGGAGAAGGTGATGCCACCCAGATCCCTGCAAGCACCTTCTGGGCAGTATGTGGAATCGAGCCCCAAATGCCTAGCTGCACATATGACTGAGCTGCATATTCAGATAAGCTAGAAAACAAGGGTACCCCCACATGTTGCTAGCACAGTTTCAGAGCTTTGTTGAAGAACCTGGTTCTTCATATACAGCACATTTTCCTCCACACAGTGACAAACAAGCTATGAATTTACTTACTGAAGTCTTAAGTCATAAAAGACATCAGGGCACTAGAAAAAACCAGACATATACCCGAAATGGACCTGATGGCATGAAAGGCTTAGATGGGGCTGAACTCAGTGAGGCCTTCAAATCCTTTTCCATCGGTCAGGACTGCGTGCTTGCTAGCGCGCCAGCGCACAGTACATTGGGTACAGTGCTAATATTTTCTTACCTCAGGGAATTTCTTCTTTTGTAAATATTCTGTCATTGCAGGATCAAAATACTTTGCATAACCTTCATTGAGACTATATACTTTCCCTTTCTTCTTGATTTTAACATCTCTGTCCACCAAAATAAATTCACCGAGAGCCTACAGAAGAACAGGATAGACCGGCTATTAGCAAGCAGCAGAAAATTTTGTTGATTTTCCGTAACAGTTGTCACACTAGACAAGGCAGAAACACTAGCACAGCTTGGTCCTTTCAGAACTAGTCTTGTGTATGACTTCACAGTATTTCAAAGAGAGCAGCAAGCACAGAATCTGCATTAAGTTCATGAAAACTTGTCATATTAGTACTATAAACAAAACCCAATTTGACTCTATTAGCATACCAAAAGAACACTAGTCAGCCCTGAAAGCAGATGGATTGTGAATCTCTGTCCACAAATCATAAGGTTACAAATTAAGAATGGCCGTCTGATCTTTGAACTTTTCTTGCCTGTCTTGCCTAAATATCTTAAAGTGAATGTGGTCGGCCACCCCCAGGTGTTGATGTCGGCAGGTTGAGTGCAATTTCCACCTTCTCTTCCTCCGTCTCTAATCAGAGCAGTTCAGCTCCCAGTTCCTCCCACTTGGAATGAGACTATTTATAAAGGTTAAAAGGAGTTTTGATAATAATGTATCCTCTCATCACCACCCCACCCCACCGCATCCCCACCCTCTCAGCCCCCCCCTCCATGTTTTGCCCACATCTAATGCTGGTTTCTCAAATGAGCAGTGTTCTTCCTGCATTCCTCCAGCAACACTTGTTGGGCTCCTGGTCTGGGCACTGAAGGGTGGCACATGTCTGATTGTATGGGTATGGCTGTGCTTTTGCAAATTGTTGGGTATGCAACTTAGAGGACGTAGACATAAAACTAAATTGCACTCAGGAAAGAAGACATCACTTTGCATGAACTGTATCAAAAAATGGTCCTTACCCCAGGCTAAACACTTAACATGCTGAGGGTCTTCTACAGACAGAAAATGGAAGAACAAGAAAAAAGCAGAGTCTTTTAAGTGGAGGCAAAGACACTGTTCAGGGTAAATTTTTTAAGTGTTTGTAAACACCAGCAGTCTGGTTTGAATGAACAGGGTTTCAAACACTGTTTAACTCTCACCGAGTGGAAAAATCAGAGGTATTGCAACCCACATACTCGTGTATTATTAAATACTTGTAAGGTGGAGGTGGGATGCTCCAGGATGTGGGTGAAAAAATGAATTGTGTATAGTGCCTAGATTACAGAGACAAGGAGTAAAGAAATGAGTAAACCCACGCATGGAAAGGTCTAAAAGATAGTGGGAATGTGATTAACACCACGACTGTACCGGATCGAGCATGAAGCAGTCCACTCCTTGCCCCGTGGAGAGGGCTACCAGTGTAGCACTGCCGTACAAGGCATAGCCTGCAGCAACAATATTGCGTCCGGGCTGCAAAGCATCTTTTTCAGAGGGCTCGTTGTCTGTTTCCTGAGGAAAAATTATCGTTGGACTGAAGGTTAAATTCTTATGAGAAACAATAAAAACAACACTTCAATAGTAATGTGGGGCAGATTTCCTTTTTGTATCTATGCAGGCCTTTGAAACCACTAGTTCAGGGCAAGTTTGGTACAAGTATGTACTCGTGCTGGGACAGGACATTGAGAGTTTGTTATTTTATACATGTCATGCGATCAATATGATACCTGCAACAAAGCTGATACCTTAGCATTACAGCCCAGTCTATTAATTCAAGATCATCAGAAATCTGAGACAGAACAGAGGTACTAATTTTCTGTCAATGTAAACATAAGCTATCATACTGACACCCCTCAGAGGGAATAACTGTGAGGTGAATGCAGTTATTAACATTACAGAAAAGTTGCTTCCAGTAATGCAGAATAAAAGGGTAGATGGTGCAACACAATGGAACCAAGACTGTGCATTTGTCTTGCTGGTGAACAGATGGGTAATTGAAGTGATATAAATGTTCATATTATATATAAAAGAACAACTGCATTTGCATGTGTAGTGTGTGAGTATGTGCAGGTATGTGTATATAACTACACAGAACATTCACACGGCATTTTACTTCATGCTTTTAATCAATTTCTGGCTTGTGTTTTGATTTGGCACTTTGGTTATCACTGAACAACAATAGCCCAAGGAGACCTGATGCAAATATTTCCAGCCAGCTCTGGGGGTGTGCCTCAGCCACGGCTTACAAGAGTTTGACTGATGGGGTAAGAAAGGAGAACAGCCAAGAGTATTTGGGAGGACTGGCTCCAGCCTTCACCTCCTGGGACTACAAAGGAGGTAGGGAATGCTTGATACTAACGTTTCTTTAAAAGCTTGTCTGTTGTGGGGGGTCTTCTGTGGATGTTTTGTTGGTTGTTCACAAGGAATTAAAATGAGAACCCCCTCAGATCCTTTCTTCAGAACGTGGCTTAGCATTTTGTTGTTCCAAACTCAGACAATTCCTCAGTGACTGCATGGGCTTAATTAGATTGAGTAGCAGCTAAATAGAAATATCAGGTCTAGCCAAAAATATCTGGTTAAAAAAATAAAAATCAGTGGAGACTCTTTTGTGTAGGAAATAAAATTTTTGACGAATATTGAGTAAATTCCTTAAAAAATCAAGAATGCTTTCCACAGATATTTTCCAAAGGAAAACACTCCTCCTCCAACAAACAGAGAAATTCTCTGCTGTGCTGCGTGGCAAGGCACTTTCCAGGTGCCCATCAGGGTCCTAGCAAGGTGGAAAGCTAAGGGTAACCTGAGGATCCTGTTCTTTGATGTATGCCAACATCTAGACAAAACTGAGATGTGGGACACCAAAACTACATCTTTCTTGGCATATGAAGACAGTAATTCCACATCAAAATGTTTTCATTTTCAGCTGGAAGATTTTATTACTTTTATTACTTTCGCTTACAGTTTTTAGCTGTATTTTGCTCAGAATTTTTTATTATTATTATTCTGCAAAGTTATTCTGTGGAAAAAAATCCAGTTGCCAACCAGCTTTTCATAGGAGCTGAAATATAGCATGTACAAATATATTTGGTATGCAGTCTTTTGGAATTATTCTATGTCAAGCTTCTTATTCAGAGAGGTTATAATGCACATAATGAAGGAAGACTAGTTAAAACCCCTGTTTGTATATTCCAGAGCTTTGAATACTGACTGCTAGTGGCTAACCCTTTGCTAAACAATCTTTTACAGAACCAACTGTTATGCTGTACATAGCATCTCCTCTTTCAAAAATGTATTGCCATGGTACATACATCTCAACATCAAAAGCAATGGTTGCCTACAGTAGACTAATTATTTGCAACATTAAATGCAGAATTAAACATACATTCACACAACTATTTGCAAACATATTATAATTCTCCTAGCTTTTTGTATGCTTTCCTCATTAAATAAAGAATAATTTTGTATAAATACAGTGAAGAGGTTTGTTTTATAGAACATGGTGTATATACAGTATACGTAACTGCTGGTTACATATGTTATTGATTTAAAATACATTTTTCTGAGATGAGCTTTTCAGTCCTACCTCTTAAAAGCATTTTCTATGTTTATATGTCTGAGAAACCACATATTTATTGACTATTCTGAAAAAAATAGGGGAATTCCTCCCTCGGGAGACGGACAGTTGGGCAGAATTCACTTGTTTTTCCATCTGTGTTTCCAAGAGCCAGCTTCCAAAAGGAAGGAAAAAAGCTCAGCCTCAAACAAACATTTTGCAGAGCTTGTCAGAATGCAAAAAAGCTAGAGATCAGCTGATAATTCTTTGTTAGGACTGCAGGAGTTTTGTCCTGCCAAGTACCATGTACTGTGAAACAAACCAGGGAATTAAGCTGGCCAGTAGACTCTGATAGCTGCTGAATATTTTCACTTCTTTCTGGTGCACAGATGGATTTCCTTTCTATTATATTTTGACTAGGAGATGGCGGTAGTGAAATCTTTTTAGAAGTCCTTATGCAAGGCCCTGAAATAGGCAGAGGAACTGCAGAAAAGCTCTGACAAGCATTGACACAGTCACTTTGGCTCATTGTTGGTGTGAAGCAGATGAAACAAGGTCTACAGAGTCTGGCTATAGGGGTGGCCTCAGGTGATAGCTGAGTGTGAAGATTTTTGCATGTATGATTTGCCCACATCACATGAAGGAGTTCTAATCAGCACTGGGAGCAGCTCTGGAAGGACTTGGTTTCCAGGTCTCCATTTGTATCACATATTTCATGAGTATCTTTTGCATTTGCCCTGAATTCTTACAGCTTCTCCACAAGGGACTACGTGGAGGGGAGGACATTGTCCTCATGACAGTGCAGGGGAGGAAGTAAAATAAACCTGAGGCATTGGGCAAAGTTACAAATTAAAACCAGAATGAAACAAAGCAGCAGAGTTTCATAGCGTATATGTGCAGTATGAATTGAGAGCTGTAGATTCAGCTCAGTGGCATGAAAAACTGGGAAGAATCGAAGCAAAAAATATTTATTGCCACGACATCCTGACACACCAGCAGCTGAGAGCCCCTCAGCTGCAGTGACTATCAAGGTCTTATCCCTTGCTCTGACTTCTGTTGATTCAGCAAAGCTCATCCCTCAGCCCCACTTTTCTGACGTTTCTTGTCTTTTTAACTACACCCCCCATGCTTCAGAAAGCAAAAGCCAGGTGGAAAATTTAATAAACCTAATACGGTATTTATTTCCCGGTCATTTTTGCTAAGAAACTGATGCAGTGCTTTTCTGGCAGGAGGCAATGGTACCTGCCACCGTTTTAATGGAAAGAATTATACAAGTGAAAGTCTGTAAATTCAGCATTGTTTCTAACTTACCAGGGAAAACTGGCAAGTTGCTCTTGTAATTGACAAACTGTGCTTCATCCTAGCAGCAGGGTTTTCACTTGGATATGAAGCATTGGTACAAAGTAATATAATTTTCTTTTTATTAGCACTGAAGGGTATCCACCCACATGAAATCCAGTCACTTAGAAACAGTATTTACAACAAATATGTTAATATATATTAGAACAACAAGAAGTATGAGAAGATCAGAAAATGAACTGAAAACTTGAGGTTTTAGGAATGACAATTGTTATTTGGGAAATGTTTCTATTCTGAAGCAGAATCCTAGGGAAGACTGGGCAGTCTATGGTCTCTACACACATTAGCAGGTGAGTTAAAGATGGTAGAGAAATCTAACCTGTATTTCAACCTGCTAAGCTATGTTAGTCACGGTGAGCACTTGCCTTTACAGCCAGGCAGAGTAACTTAACACAACATTTCTAAAGAGAAAGCTAATGTTTAGTATTTGTAAGATGGTGCTTACTACCTTTAAGAACAGTGGACAATGCAGCTATTGCCTACTGTAAATGTTGGGAGGTGCTGTAGTCTTTTAGGCTATCTTTAGAGAGATAAATGAAAAGGGTAGGGGCCCCTTTGCTTACCATAAGGGCATGTGGCATGGATTGCATCCATACAGCTAAGCTCTCATCCCTGCAAAAACCAAGGCGGTAGATGGTACTGGAGGTAGTCCCTGGGCTGCTCTTTCCACAAGCCGTACCCAGGCATCGTCTCAATGTTGTCTGGCCTGGGCTGCATCTGTGACGTGAGTTTGCACTAACCATTAACAGCGTGGACAGCCATACGCCAGCACTTGGCTTGTGCCATGACCCTGTTGAGATTGTGCCATAACTATGTGGTTTGCTAGTAGATGAATATTCTCAACAGTGATGATTAGTGTATAGCCTACCAGAAATCTAAAAAAAGAGGACTAGCCAGTTGAAAATGATGAGTTAAAAGATGAGAGCATACTTTAAAAACGTATCTTCATATGTTTGAATTGTAGCGCCTGAATCTGCAAAGACTTCTTTGCAGTCACAAGAACGGTAAATGTTGCTTCACAACAGTAATGGCTGAGGGTCTCCCGTAGTCATATGACTGTGAGCTCAGGCTTTAGGAAAAACACCAACTGCTGGGAGATTAGCAGTCGAATCACAAGACTTGGCATGACTCTCACTATTAATGTTTGTTAGTCGGCTGCGCAGTTGCTGTTCTGTGCAGCCCCACGGGAGCAGACGTGCTGGCAGGGCCCTGGCGGCTGCAGGTGACTGCTTCCTTCAGCCTCAGGTGGCCTCCATCGGCTTAGACACTCCCCTCCGTAACAGGCATAGCAACTCGCACCAGGAGGCCACCACACTGCTAACCATGACACAGTCCAGGCAGTGACTGTCAGCCCTCCCCAGTCTGTACCCAGGAAGACAAATTGCTGTCATTCGCAGGCACCGCGACACCCCTCAGCTTTCCTGAAGCAAGTAAAGCACCACTTGAAGGAGCTAACCGGCTGCCTGATGGTGAGAGGGTTTTATTTAAGCCCCTCTGTGTCTGGAGAGGGGGGGAGTGCTGCCACCTAACAATTTCATGGGGCTAAGTGTCCCCTTTCTGGGAATTTAGGCAGCATTTTAGCACTTGTGAATCTCAAGTGTTACCTCTTCTACTGTTTCGAAAGCTCTGTTGATCCCAAAGACACTCAAAGGACCTAGGAAAGAAACTGAGCAAGCTGATATACCCAAGACATTTTGCTTTCACCAAGTGAATCATGCCATGTGCATTTTGTTCATCCTCTTACCTTTTTGTAGATAGCAAATATTGTTCCTATTGGTGCCAAGCAGTCTATGTTGGATGAGCCATCGAGGGGATCAAAGCACACCACATATTTACCCTAAAACAGAATTGGCAAGGGAAGCATTAAACGATATGTAGTCTTGCGCTATTATTTCTTTTTGCTTGACAAAACCCATGTTTTATGACTGCGTTTATCCCTTCAGGCATGCCTGACACGGCTTGTCAGAGAAGGCTGCACTGTTGGCCCAGCTGGCCCTGCAGCACAACACCCGCTCCCTGCAGGACCTGCCAGAGAAATGGGAGAGGGCACGTTTCTGCTCAGACAGCACAAAATCTGATGATAGAGAGGAACAGCCATCTGCTGCCAAGCAATGCAAGAAATCGCTCAAAAGAAAAAGAAGTCACTCATTCTGGAAGCCAGCATCTTCCTCAAGTTAATATGTTTTGTTTTGTTCAGAATGAAAGGATTTGCCTGTGATGTGAGATTTGATGATAAGAAGGTGGAAAGAAGATATCTTGGGGAAAGGGTAGGTTACGTCAGCATGAGCAATATCTTGCTGCAACAGGATCTCTCCTGGGGCAAGCCTGATGAAGCAGTCAGGTGTTTCCTCTGGACGTGTAACATAAACCCCAGTTCGGCCAGCCTCTTATCTCATTTTATCTTGCCTAAATATTAATGTAATCCAAGACCGTTACACGGGCAGGCAGGGAATGTAATAGTACACTTACACCTGGGATCTGGGGTGTGTTAACAAGCTCCAAAATAATTATTTCCCCTCACCTTTACAAAACTTTAATAGTAATTTTACCCTCCCCATCTCCTTTAGCTGCTGAAACCACTCCATCCACCACAGTTACTACTCAAGACAATGCAGTAATGGTGCAAATTTCCTGAATTCCCCCGGGAAGGGTTGGGTTTGGGGCCAGCCCCAGGTTTCATACTTGAAACAAGAGTGCCACCTGCTGCTGCCTGAGCCGATAACCCCCTGAAGGCAGGAGCTGCACAGACCCGCTTCTCTTTCGGGGTGATGATGGCCTCCTTGTTCTCCTCCGTGACCAGGACGCAGGTGCTGTAGGAGGACTGGAGCATATTAATCACCAGGGAGTTGGATAATACGTCCAGCTTCTTCACTTCATCACCAGTCACGTTCACAGTGCCAGCTATACCAAACCTACAGAAAAGTAAAAATGTCAAGAAACCTGAGGGAGGCCAATGTTACAGGTTTTTAGGAAAAAAAAAAAAAGTCAGGGCGGCTCCTTCCTCTCATCTTCCCACACCTCTAACCTTTGGATTAAACTGCTAAGATGCATTAGGAGACAGTTCCTGCTGCTGCTGGAACATAAAAGCGTGCATGAGAAAGAGAAAGGGTGATGGCATTCTTTTTTGGGCTTTACCAGCATCCTTTTGCTCCTGCTTGGATGGTCTCCAGGACAGGACCAGGGCCCACAGCCCGGCTGGTGGGTGCCAGGCTTCCCTAGCAGCCCCACAAAGCAGCTGGCATCAGCTTTGAGGAAGGAGAAGGGACAGTTAACATCTGCATTGTTTTCTGCCACTGGCTGCTCAGAGCTTTGTGACGGTCCTTCAACCCACGTCCACTCAGTCCCCAGCCACGCCAAAATCAGAAGTTTTAAAGACACCCACAGATAATTCCCCATGCTGAACTGTATCTCAGGATCAAGGTCTGTTTTATTTGGTGATCCTCAGCTGAATTAGAATGATGCTTCCATTCCCTATACTGATTTTAGCAGTATACTAATGATGTACTATATCATAATGCATAGTACTATATATAGTAGTACACGTATTTCTGAGATTGCTAGTTGAGGAAGCACTGTTTAGACCTAATGTACATGGTCTGGGCATCTTAGAAGTATAAGGGATCATACAGGGAATAGATACATCATTTTTATTCATTATGGGGGGGAGGCAGAAAGAAGGGGAAAGGGGTAACTAATTAGTCCCTAGGATACTGGTCAGCAGCAGGCCTTAGTTGGGGGCAGGGTAGGTTTTTTTTGTCTTACTCAAAGCTCAAAGCTGCCTGAGCTTTTCAGAATTACTGAGTGGTTTGAGCACTCTCTTTTGGAGTGCCAAGTCTGAGATACTGGAAAGGACCATGATTTTCAGGGAGTGCTAAACACCCATTCTCCAGTTAGTGCATTTTCAGGCACATTCCCAGCTTAAGTCTATGGCTTGGGAAAAGGTCCTCCTTTACTTTTGAATGGCAAATTTGTTAAAAATATATGCTGAGCTCTTTAACGTTAAACAAGTCACTTCACAGTCTCCTGTTTAGAAGGGCTAGAAAAATCAGAGCTCTCTAACTTCACAGATGCAGATGTAGGCAAGCCAGTCACCGTGATTGAAAGTTTACCACGGGCATTTCTGAAATTTCACGGTTAGTTGCAGTAATTTGAATGGCGCAAGTTACTCACTTCTGTGTATGGATACTTTAGATATTTCTCGTTCATCACCTGAAGCTTTTGTTTGTAGAAAGAGACATTTGCTCCTTAATGGATGTTTTCTTTCTGAAGGGAAGATTCATCAAGCACAGTAGGCGCGTGTTCTGGCGACTAGGTGGCTATTCCACCTCTAGTCTATCAAACAGAGGTTCTCCCCACTTACTAAGTACTTCTGATGTTGCATACTGAAAGATTAAAATGAGATAAAAGCAACTGTTTCTCTAAAAGTCAGGGAGGCAAAACAGCTCAGCTTCACCTAGTAAGTACGAAGTATAGTTTAACAGTTAGGGCATAGGAGCCTGATGCTGCTGTTAACTTTGAGTATGTATCATGTCCTCTCTACATATGATGGTCCCTGCCTGTAAAGTGAGGGTGATAGTACTGAGACATTGAATTCATGATTTACAAAGATCATTGAGAACCTCAACCAAATAGTCGACAGAAGCACAAAAAGAACCAGAGTGTCATACATTTTGGTGTTTCCATGGCAAAAAAAATTTAAAAAATTTACACTTACACAAATATATTTCCTGTCTTTTTTATGCATGCATACATACGTACATACACAGGTATGTACAGAAACAAATATTTCAATACATAACAAAACCTGTATATTTTAAATGCATAGTTTTATTAGGATGTTCCAGCTCTCTGAACAGTTTCAGATAGATCACCATCAAAAGAATGACACTGATGTCCATTTCACCTTGCTGTGTGAGGAACATCTCGGTTCATACCAGGCTTTGCTAACGCAATTCTTTATTCCATTTGCTAAACCACTAGATGTCAAATTTTTATGTTTGTTTTTCATATAGGGCTTTTTAAAACTCCCCACCTGTAACTCTGCTACTACTTGAGGAAGGAAGGGGAAATGCACTCATGCATGGTAACGCATGTAATTTCTCCCAGGGCTGTTGCTTTAGACCATTACTTACACTGCAGTCAGGCAGAACATCAGCTTCCCAAGATAAGTCAAGCCCTGAGTTGCACAGCTGAGCACCAGGCTTGGATGTTAGCAGAAAATATCATGGTGTGATACTCTGCATTAAAAATACCATGTTGTGATATTTTGCAAATTCACAGTAGATTTAAGAATACATCAGTATCAACATTTACAAGGGATAACAAGGTGAGCAGTGCATTGAAGTTCTGACTTACATTTTTAGATTAAAATATTACAGAACAGCAGTTAGTTTAAATGCCTATCTTGCACCCAATATCAAAATGCTCCAGAAAGAGAGATCTCCCGCTTCCCACTCTTGATAATCCAGGCTCTGACCTCACGCCTACAGTCACTTGGCTTAAAAAAGACATTTTGAATGTATTTATGAATCCCTGCCCACTCCCCAGCCTTGCTGTGCAAGCAGCTGTCTCTCTACCTCCTCTTCCTCCCCGTATCGCTAGGTAGGACTCACATGTGGGCAAGGCCTGCCTTTCTGACTGCGGAGGAAATGGCCTTTATGGCAGTCAGCATGGAGTTGAGCAGCTGTGTCAGCTCCCCTGTCGCTCCTTTAACGCGGCGTCCCTTCTCCATAACAAATCGCGTGAGCGTCAGCATATCCGTTTCGAAGGGGGTTTTGTCGGACATTTTTGCTGGGTACCAGAGTTCCTATATTCTCGGCTGGACGAGAGGCTTTCTTGCCACGCTGAGATCCTGGGTGGCTGTTTTATTTTGAGGCGAAGCTGTTGGCTGCGTTGCTGGGCAGAGTTTAAGATGTTTCTGAGACCATGTGATTGAGTGCTCAGAATAACTGCACCCCAGGCTGGCTCCACCGCCCCGCTGGGATGCAGGGAAGGAGCCTGAGACGGGACTACAGCTGAGCAGCCCCTGCTCCGCTGTCCTCCCCACGCACTGAAATTAGTGATGTGCAGATCTAGTAACATATTCTAATTGTGCGTTACCCTGCTTATAATGCAAAGCTCGCGCTGGCCGCCTAGCTGGAAACTGCTTTCCTGTAGTTGCCACTCAGCAACGAGCTCAGCGTAGCCAAGGGAAAGCGCGCAGTTTGCAAGGCACCAGAAATGAAGGCATGGGGCATCAGTAACCACGCGTGCCATCGTGCCCCGTGGCAGAGCACCCACCACGCTGTGACGCCGGGCGTTGAAGTTCCCTTCCCATATCACCTTAGTCCCTGCTTGCTCACCCTCTTTTGGCCTCTTCCATGGAGGAGGGTTTTGAAAGTGTATGGCACATCCCAGGGGAATCAACAGGAGACGCAGGGTGCATCTAGACATGCATTTATTTAAGATGTTTTATGCTGCTAGTTAGTCTGCTGCAATCCCATTTTAATGACTTCATTCCTAGTCTGGGCTACTTGTAATATTACAGGGCTTGCATGAATGAGAAGTAGTGGTGAGCTGTGGCTTGATTGGTTACAAAGTAATTGTGTCTTCAGTAATTTACAAATGAAGCTTATCTGATTTAAGCATATCTATGTCATGACTCACAAAATGAAAATTTACATCAGCTTTGGTATTGTAGTGCACCATGTAAATAAAGGCATGTCCAAGTTTGCAATTATACTGCCAGTAACTCCTTACAAGCAGTATACTTGGATCATAATGGTGCTAATGTGAAGGTAGATGGGAATGTCAGTAAACTAGGTACCTGCTATCTGGAACACTGGAATTACAGATTTTAATTACAGCACTATCTTCCCACTCAGATAAGGCAGTAAGAACAATTATATGTTGTAGCCTTCATTTTACTTATTAGCAGCACTGTCTTGTTTTTAAGCAGAAGATCTGGAAAGCCCACAAGCAAAACAAGAAAATCTGGAGTTAAAGAAGAAAAGTTTCATTGAATTTCATTGTTATCATTCACTTAACCCAAATTACTGCACTAAAATCATGCCAGGAAGACAGAGACAATATTCAATAACAAAACATACACCTAGCTTTGTTTTTGTTAATAGGAACTGCAGCTGTAGGCAGACATTTTTTTTCCCTCTGCATTCCCTTTTTAATCTTTAGCATTTCTTTGGATTTTCCTAAAAGCATCTTTTCACCTATGAACAATACGTTACTTGGAGAGTTGTAAAGGGATTTGAATGCTAAGGTTTTCTACTTTGAAACTAGCCTCAAACAACAGTCGTAGAAACTGACAGCACTGAACAAGTACAAAGCAACAAGTACAAAGACACAGTTCAGTGCTGCTTGCATCCCATGTGTTTAGCTTTGGGGATATATCTCAAGTCTCATTCTAGGGAGGAGGAGGGACTGGCGAGCAGAACTCCTCGGGTGGAGCAACAGGGAGATTTTGCACTGCGTCCTCTAAGTGAATGGTGGAAGAAGAAAGTGAGCTTGAAGACTTCTTTTCCTCTTTTCTACCACTGTGATCTAGCTGAAAGTATACAATACCATCCATGTCACGGGACAAATATTCCAGAGCACTTTTTGCCAGGTTAGGAGACTTTCTTTCTTTGAACAGAGTTTGTACAAAACCAAAATATAACATATTTAGGGAGCTGTGGGATAGCACATGGTGCTATTAATAAAAGAAGGGCACAGGTTTCACATTATACATGCAAACAGATCTGCTGGCTTAAAGTACAGCCATTACATTCTGCACATTATTTTGTCATCATGGCAGTTGTCAGCCTGGCTGGTACCAAAATGCTTTCAATGCAAAATCTCTCTGCTGTGTAGCTAGAATACCATCAGGATACCCAATCAATTTAGCAAATAAGAAATGGGGTGGGGGTGGGCCTATCGCTTCTAACATTTATCAAGGCATCACATGCAGATCTTCTTTACTGTTGATTCCAAGTGATCTTTTACACTGGTCAAAAAGACAAAGTTCAGATCATCTTCTAACAGAAAGCTAGTTTGTTTTGGAGTTAGTGGTTCAAAGGGTGTTCTTAGAGCTAATAAGTTCATTATTTGCCTCCTTTTTTTTTTTTTTTCCTAAACTGAAAAATCCCCATATGCTATTTACAGCTACTGGATACTTTTTAGTATGTATAAAGCACAATGCTTTGAGCTGCAGCTCAAATAACACTCCTTCAGTAAGAACTTAACTTACACTAATATGTAAAGAACACAGACTCTACACCCAAGCTTTCCATAAATATTGCAACCAACAGTGGAGCAAGAAGAGAAATAAAAGAATAAAACTTGGGTAAAGGCACAAGACTGGGTTGCATGAAAACTTTACCCTGTTTTGATAAATACTGTGATCCCAATGTATCATAAAAACCTGAATGATTAAACTGAATGATTAAGCTATAGAAATAATTACCATTTAAGGGGGGAGGGAGAAACCAGATTGTTTCAAAAATGTGTGATGATTCTTTGTAAGTCTGAGAACTGCTCAGTAATATGGGTTGGAACAGCATAGAAAGGTTAAAAAAATAAACAAACACCTCAATTTGACACATCCGTGGGAAATTTGCCCTCTCATATAAAGATTACACAAGAGCTCTCAGGGATGGTTCACACTTCCACTGGCATGTAGGTTAGCCCTGTGCCTTAAAGGTGACACCTTGTCTAACTGATTTGAAATGTTAGTTGCTTGGACGGTGCTGGCTGAAATTGGAGCCAGCGACCTTTCACCAAATGCCACAGTTCAGCCTCTGAATGGGGCAGTGGGTAGTACCGCAACGGGGACTGAAGGCAGACGCTGCAACAAACCAACCCTGGTGCAGGGCAAGCTCTGGAAAGGGGGCTGTGGAAGGAGACGACTGAACAGTTCTCCCCTGCTGGTGGCTACACAGGGATGCCATTCAAATGTGGGCTTACATATTACAGATAGAAAGCTAAAAACCCAGCTCAGAATGTGAAAAATGTTAACTATAAAATGTCAGCCTACAGGCAAAACCAAAACACTGGAAACTGACCTAGCAAACATGGGTGGTATTGCCTTTCCTTCTATAACCTTTACCTACTGCCAGTATGGTGTCTTAAAAATAGATATATGCAGCCCCAGGATTCCTGAAGAGGTTGAGGGCAGAATACAGCTGAGAAATTACTATAACTAGACAAAAGTGGCTGCTGTGGATACCGTCTGTCAAGTTGTGCCAACAGACTACTGAGGCACTGCAATCCAAGCTGATACACAAAAAGCCAGAAAAAAGCTGTAAGTGCTTCTGACTATTCTCTGCTCAGTGTATTAAATAAAAAATTGCATCCAGCTATAGCTCTGGGGACAGGTGAAATTAAAAACTTAAGATCTAAAAGAGTTGTGCATGACAACAACTGTCATGCACTTTCCTCTAGGAGTAGCATTCAGAACCTCAGAGAGGCTTAGAGTCCTTCTCAGCATGCTGCCTGCTATAGCTGATTTAGTGAGCTTGGAGCCTTTTAAAGTGTGATGGGGTATGTGCCAGAGCCAGCAAGAAAGGAAATGCTCCAGATAGGAATATGCAATTCCTTTGGGAAGTGTTTCAGTGTGTGAGGTAGGAACTTCAGCTGCTCTTAGCACCTTCACTTGTCAAAACAGACAGACTTGCTGTTTCTTTTGAAATCACAACGAAAAGACAAAACAGCTGCAAGGATTTTTTTTTTTTTTTTTCTTTTACAAAAGCAAGAGCATGACCATATCCAAGTGGCTGGCTGCTCACATGAAGAGGCACAGAAAGCAGCATTGGCCCTAGCCCAAGAAAGAGCAGCCCATGAAGAAAAGCCTGGTCCACAGGAGTCCCCCAGCACACGGCTGTCTGGTCACATGAAGTCTTCTCCCATGTCACAGCACAAGACTCACAGGTCGAGGTAGTAAACCCTTTTTTTTCCAGGCTGGCACCCAGACTAGCAACAAGGGCATCTCACTGGGAGATGTGGTCTGAGCCTTCTCCCAGAGGGGAATTAATCAGAAATTAGACAGCATACCACATGGTCGCTGTTTGTGGGTGCCTGATTTTGCTGGTGCGTATCAGGCAAAGTACATAAGCCATGGTCTGCTTGTTTCCCAGAATAGAGTTTGGCCTACAGAGGAGCCAGATCCTGCGCAGGGATAGACTTAGGCCCTCACAAGCGTGAAAAGCAAGTGCACAAACAGAACGAGAGCTCAGTGGAGATTTCCAGGATTGTCCCAATCCTTTAAGGGCTCAGGTCCCTGAAAGCCCTGCCTTCACTAACAAAGCCTCATCAGAAACAGCATTTTCAGCAGAAACTAGGCCATTCAGTCCCTACCAGAAACACCTTGTCCTCTGTTGCTTTGGAGAACAGATGCATGTATATATATATACACCCATCTAAGGTTTGTCAGTATGCCTCCAACTGCCCCAAACACAACCTCTGTCAGAACAAGGCCCCCCAGGTTTTTTTGTGTGTGAGCCCTCACAGAGCATGCCTTCACACCACGGCCTCTAGGTTCCGCCCCCCCCCC